CTTCTCCTCCCACTCCCCCTGCTTGTGTTCCCTCTCTCACTGTGTCTCTCTCTGTCAAATAAATAAATAAAATCTTTAAAAATATATATATATTGAGTAATGTGTAATTATATGTTGCTTATATAAATGAACAAAATTAAAAATTATTTTAAAATCTAGGAGAAAACATAACATGAGCAATAACAGATGATGGTAACTTTGGTGAATAACAATTTGAAGATTTAGAACATTTTTCAATAAAATGAAGTTTTATATTGTCAAAATACTGACAAATGATTATAAGAGTTTTATTGATCTAAGAATGAAAGAAAATTAGAACATTTAATTTTCATAAACCACAAATTCTTTCAAGAACAAGATTAAGTAAAGAAATCAAGTACTTCTTTCTTAGGGTTCCTATATATTGTATCACATTTTTTTTAAGATTTTATTTATTTGAGAGAGAGAGAGAGCATGAGTGGGGGGGAGAGGAAGAAGCAGGCTCCCCGCTGAGCAGGGAGCTCTATGTAGGGCTTGATCCCAGGACCCTGGGATCATGACCTCACCTGATGGCTGACCTTTAACCGACTAAGCCACCCAGACACCTCTGTATCACATTTTTTACATTAAATTCTTAATAATGGCAAGACAGTGAGTTAGTTGAATGTTTTTGAGTGATGAATTGCCATCATCGAAACGTAAATGTTAATCAATGTTAACTTCTGAAAGAACAGAAATTTATAATATGATTATAAGGCTAGTTTTGATGTTGGTATAAAAGCCCAATTAATAAATAGGCCATCTCTTTTCTTGTCAAGAACTTTCAGGGTGTTTTGTTCTTTAACTTCTGGAATGAATAAGAATAACCTGGGGAACCTTTCAGCATCTGCGTTCAGAGCCTCAGTCCCTAAGACTGATTCACTAGGTCTGAGGTGGGACTTGAACTTCACATTTTTTGAAAGCCCTACAGGTGACTCGAACACATGTTACAGGTTGAAGAGCAGTGGTGTGCATTTCAGGGAGAGACAGATAAATTATACAGATCATGTGATAAACTTACAGGTTCAAAACATTGCTTTACACAATAGATACTTTACTTCAAACATGTGTCAACTGAATTTCTTTGCCTGTAAATGAACTAGTTGAACTTAATGGAATATTTGTTATTTTTAAAATGAGCATAAAGGTAAAACATCAAAATCATTTATATGTATGCATATTAACAAACAATAACTTATGTTTCTAAAATAACATTTCCCAAATTTTGTAATTTGCTTTCAAGGCTTCCACTGCCATCACATGTTAAATAAACATATTATTTCAATGCGATAATTAATTTACTGAGATTTCTGGGTATAGAAATCACTTCCATCCACTGCTACAAATGAAGGATCATAAGGAATGCAGGCTTCTGATTTGGATCCTATGGAAAAGTGAAGCCACCCATTCACAAAAGGAGCATGAAAGAGGGAGAAACAGAGCTATTCAAAAGACTTGAAGAGCTGCACAGCTTTCTAGCATTTCTTGTTTTGTTTTTAAGAAATTTGGGGGTTTACATATATAATTTTAATAATACAGGAATATACTAAAAAAACTACTGCATCTCCATACAGTTATAGGATCTTGGTCATTAGAAAAATTATATATGGTATTTTTACATCTAGGAGGAACCTATACATTTAATTCAATTCCCTTATTTTGAGATGAGAAAATCTGAGGCCCAAAATGGACAAAGTAATCAACCAAAGACACATAGGCAGCCAGTTACAAAGCCAGGATCAGGAAGCATTCAGAGTGCTGGCCAAACCACTCACAGAGAAATGGGAATTCTTGCCTACCTTTACTCTTAGGGCATCAGTGAGCTCAAGGACTAAGGGTATGAAAGGAGAATGATGCTACAATATGAATGAGGGTAATTTCACAGAAAGAAAAGATAACAGAATTAAGAATTTTAGACAAATGTCTACTGCTGTGTGGCTGCCCCTTTGCTGGGTATAAGAGAGCAAGAATCTTTCAGGTTTCCATGGGACAGAGATCACATCTCTATCCCTGGCTAATCAGCCTGCTTTTAATACTATGACTCCGTGTAATTTACAATGCTAATATTTCCTAATTACTTATTTTCCTATTATGTACTTTGGTTTGGAGAGTTGAATTGGAGAGGTATGGTGTAGTGATCAAGACCATTTTAGGAAAATTCTAGAGCTGTGCTGTCCAATACAATAGCCACTAGCCTCACGGTGCTATTTTAATTTAATTACAATTAAATTAAAAATTTAGTTCTTTAGTTAGAATAGTCATATTTCAAATAGTTAATAACTTCAGGGGGATAATGACTGCCAAAATGAATAGTGCAGATATAGGACATTTCCGTCAGTGCAGAAAATTCTACTTTTTCAATAGCAAAACAGGAATAAGTAATACATAGTACTTTCTTTAAAGGATCCCTCATGGGGGGATCATTAAGTGAAATGATGAATGCATAGCCCTAGCACAGAATAAGTACACAATAAGGTAAGCTACTGTTAATGGAATCTATGTTTTAAATGGCAAATGGAAAGGCCTGTCTCTTATCTTTATATAATGTTGTTTGGTTGGTTGTCTTTTAAAAAAAACAATCCCCAGCATTATCAATTTTATAACTAAATCTCATATTTCCTAATTAAAACGGTCTTTAGTAAACCTGGTAGACATCAAAACTCATAATACAGA